TTAGAGGGATAAGATCGGCATGTGTTTTTTGTTGATAAGATCGGCATGTGGAGTCCAAGGTATATGCCCTCAGGGAGCGCCACGGACGTCATTAATCGCATATTTCCAACATAGGGATGGTCACCGTTCCGATCGAAACATTCGCACGTGGGTCACAATCCGCCATCAGTCGATCCAGCCGCCTTCGAGAGATATCGACCGTGTTCCTTTGGCGGCATAGCCGTTGGAGATTCGTGACATGAGTGCAACTGTAGGGCGCACAGAGGCGGCAAAATACAGATGACCCCGCCATTCTTAAAGAATGGCCGTAACCATCAGAGGCGGTGCAACTCCTACTAACAAGGCCAACCTTGGTACTGTTGGAAGCCCAACATGGGCGGCATCTGTAGCAGTTCAGGCGACGATCCCATATAATCTGGTGAGGAAAACCTCGGGGAGTGGCACCTACAGAGAGCGTGGAAGGGAGAGGGGTATCACTCGCTGGTCTCTGCATGCCCTTAGGTACCACAGCCAATACCGAAGAAGCCACATAACCGATGTATGTGCCCAAGAGAATGACAACTTCTCGTGAGCGGGTCAGCCTAGCAAGAGCGGCCTCGTCGCAAGGATGCATGGCCGCGCCTTCCTTAGCGTACTCGCCAACGACCTTGTTGGCCTTGGTACACCACACAGGCTGCCGCTCGTCTTGCTCAGACAAGTGGGAGGTAACCTAATGAAGATGTGTTTTGCGATATCCAATATCATCTGCAGCATTATGAGTCCGAGTCCAAAGGTCAGAATACGCAGCCCAACCACCGGTGGAGGCTGACCGAGGTAGGGCGAAAGTATCCAAGACCGACTGGCAGTCGCCATAATAATGGTACTGCCCTCCTTCTTCAGGCGCTGCGTGTAGCCAGAACGCATGGAATACGAGGCCTTCTGCCGCAGGTACTGCCTGAACCAGCCCAGGATAGGGTCCATATTGAATAGTGTGAGCATTCCCAAAACGATCCACAGCAGCAACAACAAAACCGCAACGAATTGTCCAGGAAGACGGTCTGTGGGTGCCAGGCCCATCTCCGAACATAGGCGACGCCTGGATTTGACCTTGGCGCCCAACTCATGCCCACACCAACTCGTCATCAAGCAAAGGTGCCAGAAACAAGCGCTCAGGATCAAGTACGAGCGCCGTGTACTAGACAGGATCGTCAGGGTGCCTCTCACGAACCCTCAATATCCCAGGAGGCATACCAAAAGTCTGCCGATGCTGGAGAGTACCAAGGCAATCCCAAAGCATATGAGACACTGCATGCGCCGGATCAACAGCTACATGACCACAGGAAGTACACTGAAGCGGGAGGTGCAAGGCTCCTGACGGAATTCCTTTCAAAGCAGCTGTAGGAGCGGATCCAAATCTTGGCGACTCTGTGGTGAAAAGGGACCGGAGAGGGGACAAGAAAGGTGATCCGACCAGGTGCTGTAGGAGAGGGCGCTGGAGGGCAGCCTCTTTCCATGCCCATGCCTCAGCACCCCGAGCGACGAGTACAAACAGGTCGCGAGGTGCTACCAGCGTAACATCAACAGACATCCGAGACACTGTGAGCCAGGTAGCGGGAGCTGCTAAAGACCAAAACTCAACCTCAATAAGGTGGCAACAACTACGGATGCTGGGCCGCGCAAGTCACACCAAAGCGTCTCGACAATGACGTTCCGACTCGCCCATTACAGAGCTTCATCGACCAACTATTCCGACAAGACTCCATCCAACCGAGGAGCCGCCCACATGGTCAGATCGTCCGTGTCTGCTGGTACTGCTGGGTGCAGCACGCGATCGAGGGCTAGATCCGTAGCCACAGACCTGTGCGCACGCGTGCCGAGTGCTGTATGATAGTGCTGCTGAAGTTCACGTACGTGCTGCGTGGAGGAGCCAGTGACGCTGACGCCTTTCATCGCTGCAGAGCCAAGCGCAGGTTGCAGCATCGGCGGGATTCGCCCGCCGGCCCTGCGAAGGCTAGGAAGAGATCAGAGGAGGGAGGGATCAGAGGAGGAGAGAGGGATCAGAGGAGGAAGAGGAGAAAGAGGAGGAGAGAGGGATCAGAGGAGGAAGAGGAGAAAGAGGGGGGGGATGGGCGATTGAGACGCTGCCTGGAGCGAGAAACGCAGAAACGCAGGGGGGATGGGCCAAGCAGACGGCGGAGGCCAAAACAACGGGAGCTGATGACAGCCTGCTTGCCAAGGCCATCAAGAGGACGGGAGAGAACAACCAGAACATGACCCGACCAGAATATGTGAAGCAAGAAGCACCCGAGCAAGACCCGCAAGATCAGAACGACCATGATGAGCAGATAGAGGTGGACGAAGACGTCATCTACTACGACACGCATCACCCTGGATGTAGGCTCAAAAAGGAAGTGAACGGCCAAGTTAAGCTTGTCCCTGTTCCACTTAAGGCGATACCTAAGAAGCCACCTGCGGCGGTATCTAAAGCAACGGCATCCGGCGTGACAGCCAGCAGCAGTCAGGGGTCCATGTGGGATTCATCTAAGTACGGCACTATGCCCGCTATTCCGCCGCAGCCTATTCGTGCGCCGCGAGAGCCTCGCACACCATGGGTGTGCACACAGGCCATTAAGTGTGAGGTAATTGGCGACGTGCCACCGACAAATGAGTAAGTACCCTAGCAAAAATCATCGGCGCAGGTGGGCAACCTGACAAGATGTCTGAGGGTATGTTGGGACAGCGCGCTTGCCCATGCGCACCTGACACGTTACATGCATGGCCGAATTCTATACTTCGAACAAGTACATTGTGAAGTGGTTGCATTGTTCCTCCAATAATGCTGCGTTGTCCATTGGTGGTATATCTTGATATGTACTCCAGACATGTGCGTCATGTACCATGTGTGGGTTATCTAGCATGCTATGTCAAACGTGTGATTCGGTATACATACGTGGTGTCTCTAGCATCGTGTGGTATACAGATCATGTACTGGGTCATCCAGTGGTGGCTCTTTTGCGTAGTTCTACAGACATGCACATCATGAACCATTGGTGGGGCATGAGATCTGAGTATCATGTGAATGTCTCTCCTGCAGCACAGTTGGATGCGGGTTTATATGCTGTGCTGCTTCCTGCACTCCTACGCGTGCTCGCTCGAGGCCCCCTGAGGCCCATTGCAATGTCGCCCTTGCTTAGGCCCCGTCGAGGACAGGCCTGAGGGAACGCACGAACGAAACGAACAAGGAGGAGGGAGGGAGGGACGAACGGAGAAAGAGGAGGAGCAGGACCAGTGTAAACACAAGACGCATCAACGGTGTTGCAATAAATCCTCCCTCAGACTTTCCTGTGCATAGGTCCCTTGCCCTCTCCTCCCAGGTGAGACAACGACACCGACGCCGAAAGAGAAGGAGCACCCAACACTCCCACGCCCATCCTGAGGGAGGGAGAGGAGCAGCAGGAGGGGGAGGAGCAGCAGCAGCGGCAGCACGAGCAGGAGGAGAGGGAGAGGAGGAGGAGGAGGAGGAGGAGGAGGAGGAGGAGGAGGAAGAGGTGGAGAAGGAGGCGGAGGAAGAGGTGGAGGAGGAGGAGAAAGAGGAGGGACAAGACGAGGAGCAGCAGCAGCAGCAGGAAGGAAAGGTGAAGGAGGAGAAAGAAGAGGAAGGAGGATGTGCCCAGAGGTTCTCGGGCGGCTTTCGGCGGCTCCCATGGCCTCTGGGGGCTTCAGGCGGCTCTGGCGGCGTCGGGGGCCCGACGAGGAGCACACGTGCCCAGAAGGAGGGGCACACGGCGGCACGAGCATGGCCAAGAGGGCACGGGAGAGGACGTCCGCCCGCCACGGGGCGGGGGCTCGAGGAGAAGCAAGGGGAAGAGGAGGGCCTGGAGGGAGAGAAGGAGCCAGAGACGGGAGGAGGGCCCCTGCGCCCAGGAAAAAGTAGGACGGCGGCGGACACAACGGGATGGCTGCGGCGGCGGCGCCAGCGACGGCGAGGCCCCGACAGCTGCCGCGGGGCTGAAACGCACCGAGCCAGCCTGAGCCGCCGACGACGACCACGACGACGACGACGACGACGACGACGACGACGACGACGACGACGACGACGACGACGACGACGACGACGACGACGACAACGACAACGACAACCAGGTGAGGATGAGGAGTAAGCCCTGCTGCCCCTCGCTGCGCTGCGCTCCGCTCAAAATCGACCTCGCTCCTGTCCATGCCGCTAAGCTCCGCTCTTCTTTCTCCCACCCCCACCCCTCTCTCACTCCATTGCGCAGCTTTGTGGGGCGATCAACGGAGCGAGGTCCGTCGTGTTTCATCTTGTGCACAACTCCATCCCACCCCGCCTGGCTTCCACCTGCATGACTACTCCACTCTGTTGAATAAAATCGTACCGTTCCTTATCACCCCATTACGCTCCACACTGGTGCACCCCAGCCAACTAAATTGCACCATATTGGAATTCTCTTGGCTGCAGTGAAGTGCCGGCACATGCCTACGTGCATCATGACGCAGCGACGCACCTCGCGCGCGCAAGCGAGGCCACCCATCCTCCCCCCGCCTCCGCGTAAGAACGCGCAGCAAGCGTCCAGAGCAGCCCTACCGACCTCCCCCCCAGAGCGCTGAACTGCACTGGCAGCAGCGAAAAGATGGACTCCCCCAGGAACCGCAGAGCGAGTCCACCGCTTGCGGGGGGGCTGGGCTCGCCTTCCTCACTATTGCCTTTCGTCGCCGACCTGGCACACGCGCAGGTCGGTCTGGAAGCAGAGGGCCACTGCGAGTCGAATGAACGCACGGCACGGAAAGCGGGAAAAGGAAGGCACGAGGCGACCGCGGACGGCAACGCGCCCTCCTCCATCGAAAGCAACGTGGCAACGTCGCATAGCACATCGCAGGCAATATCATATGTAATGGTATTGGATGGGATGTAATTCGAAGACGGCGCGGCCCTTGTCTCACGAGGCATCGCCGCCGACATAGCGACGAGACGGACGAGAGAGCCAGCGGGCCGTGAGGACACGCTCTCGACTGCGGGCACCCCGTCGATGGGTGTGCCGCGCGCAGCACGCCTCGCCCGCCGCCTCGCGCTACGCCGAGAGCGACAGGGCGTGCGTGCCGCGCCTGTTTCCTAGACAGTATTGGCACGGCGGCCGACAGTCAGATGGGGTGTGCACGCCTGGAGCCTGGCAGCCGATGAGCGCGCGTCGCACCCCCCGGACGCCTCCCCGCGTAAAGTCGGGGACGGGGGGGGGGCCAGCGCTGCACGCGGCTGTCCTGGGCGAGCTCGAGGTGCACACCGGCAAAAATCCGCTCGTCGGGCGACACGGCCTGGAAGGACTTTTTTTCTTGGCGTCGGCAACCCCTGGAAGCTCCTGGGGCCACCGAGGCCGGAAAAGGAATGAGCCCCAACGGACTCACCCCGCGGACATCGGACAAGAAGAGGGGGCCGACAGGGCCCCGGGGCCTTCCGGACGCCTCCCCCTCAAAGCTCCTCGCCCGCTGCTGCCCGCCGCCCCCGCCCGCACCGCGGCCGCCCTGTTCTTTCCGCCACGGCTGCCGGCCACGGCGCGCGGGGCCGCGCCCGCCGCCGCCTCTCCGTGGAAGGGGGCGGCACCGGGGAGGCGAGGAAGCGGAAGGGCTACGCTCGGGAGCTGCTGCTTGGCGTGCCGCGGCGGCGGCCCCGGCGACACGCTGTGCCCTGCGAGCGGATGGCGTGTCGCTCCGCTCCGCGGGGCGGGCGGCTGGGAGAGGCTCGGGAAGTCGCCGCCTGGGGGCCGGGGAGGGGTCCGCGAGTCGTCGCGCAGGGGCGGCGCGTGCCCCGGACCGCAGGAAGCAGCTCCTGGGATAGGGGGCCACATGCGAACCCTGCCCCTACCCCCCATGATTTCTGAAGGGGAGGGTGGGGTTCACTTCGCTCGGGAGCTCCCGAGGGAAGTGAACCCCATCCTCCCCCTCAGAAATCGCGGGGGGTAGGGGCAGGGTTCGCATGTGGCCCCCATATGGGAGGTCTTCGCGAGGACGACTCAGAGCTATGAGGCCCGATGGAGGGGCCACCAAGGCGGATGGAGCCCGGGATGAGGTCATAGTTGGTGGGCTTAGCCGGAATGACATGGGACTATACCGGATTGGGCCAGTCTTCGACCACGGATATACCAGCGCCGATGCTGAATGCAACCTCCCAAGAATAGCATCCTGGGAAAGGACGGAAGACGACACACCGGCCGCGCGACACAGGGCCCCCACCTCAATGGAAGTTTCCCTCGGGACGCGGTCTCTCCTCCCCCTCCCTCTCCGCCGTCCCCATTTCCCCCCCTCCTTCTCCAGTGCCTTTCGCCGGGGGACGCTCTGAGGGCCTTCATTACTTTGGTGGCCCCTTCCCCTTCTCTCCCTGCTCCTCCTCCTCCTCCTCCTCCTCTCCTCCTCCTCCTCCTCCTCCTCCTCCCCCTCCTCCCCTCCTCCTCCTCGTCCCCTCCTCCTCCTCCTCCTCCTCCGCCTCCCCTCCTCCTCTTCCTCCTCCTCCTCCTCCTCATCCTCGCCCTCCTGCTCCTGCTCCTGTTCCTCCTCCTCCTCCTCCTGCTCCTCCTCCTCCTCATCATCATCATCATCCTCCTTCTCCTCCTCCTCCTCCTCCTCCTCCACCGCCGCCGCCCCCTCCACCTCCTCTTCCTCTTCCTCCTCCTCCTCCTCCTCCTCCTCCTCCTCCTCCTCCTCCTCCTCCTCCTCCTCCTCCTCCTCCTCCTCCTCCTCCTTCTCATCCTCGTCCTCCTCCTCCTCCTCCTCCTCTTATCCTCGTCCTCCTCCTCCTCCTCCTCCTCCTCCGCCTCCTCCTCCTCCTCCTAACCTCGTCTTGTCTCTATCTGTTCCTCCTGTTGCTCCTCCTCGTGCCGTTCTACCCGTCGCCCTCCCTCTGGGAGCCCTCTTCTCTGCGGGCGCGAGCGGCCCACTTCTCTCCCCAGCTCATCTCTGAATGGGGAAGGGGGGCGAACAAGAGGGAGGGGGAAGGAGGGGGACGCAGCTGCTGGGAGCGACCCGGGCCCTCAGATCAGCTCGGCGACCTGCTGCAGCAGGAGGCAGGCGCCGATGCTGGCGCTCATCGGCGGGCCCTGGACGACCACCTTCCTCACCGGGCCCTCGCCCTGGGAGTCCTCGGCGATGAGGGAAGGCGGAGAGAGAGGAGCGGCATCTAGAGAGAGGAACGATCTATCTAGAGAGAGGAGCGATCTAGATAGAGAGAGTGAGAGTGAGAGAGAGAGAGAGGAGGAGCAGGAGGGATGGGATCGGGTCGGATGCCGTGCAGCCTCAACTTATTGGGGCAGCAGGCCGCAGGAGGGGGGAGAGAGAGGAGGAAGGAGAACACACTGCCTTCCGCAGTGGGCTTCGGCAGCGCAGCCCTTGGGAAAGAGGAGGAGGAGGAGGAGGAGGAGAAGAAGAAGAAATGGATAGAGGAGGAGGAGCAGTTGAAGGTTTAGAAACAGGAATAGAAGAAGAATTATAACAAAAATGACCCTGGCGAAGGGCCCAACCAGATGTAGTTGTGGGTAACGCGTTGTTGGTGCCGCTTCGGGTGGGCCACGCAACCCGTGATGGGGCGTGCTGTAATGGGTGGGGGTGACGCACGCGGGCACTCCCACTAGGGCCTTCGGTGGAGCTCCCTATAGGGCCACGACGCGCTGTAGTGGGTTGTGGAGACGCATGCGGGCGGTGCCACTGGGGCCTTCGGTGGAGCCCCAATATGGGGCAGGCAAACGCTGTACTAAGTGGGGGGGACGCATACGGGCGGTGCCACTGGGACCTTCGCTGGAGCTCCCTATGGGACCACGAAAGGCTGTACTGGGTGTGGCGGACGCATGCGGGCGGTCCACCTGGGGCCTTCGGTGGAGCCCCCCATGGGGCCACGCGACGCTCTACTGGTTGTGGCGGGCGCATGCGGGCGGCCCCACAGGAACCTTCGGTGGAGCTCCCTATGGGGCCACGAAACGCTGTACTGGGTGTGGCGGGCGCATGCGGGCACCCCCACTGGGGCCTTCGGAGGAGCTTCCTGTGGGGCAACGCAACGCCGTACTGGGTGTGGCGGACGCATGCGGGCACCCCCGCTGGGGCCTTAGGTGGAGCTCCCCATAAGGACACGAAACGCTGTACTGAGTGTGGCGGCCGCATGCGGGCACCTCCACTGGGGCCTTCGGTGGAGCTCCCTATGAAGCCACGAGCCACGAAATGCTGCACTGGGTGTGGCGGACGCACATGGCCACCCCTACTGGGGCCTTGGGTGGGGCTCCCTATGGGGCCACGAAACGCTGTACTGGGTGTGGCGGACGCATGTGGCCACCCCCAGTGCTTTCGGTAAAACTCCCTATGGGGCCACGAAACGCTGTACTGGGTGTGGCGGACGCATGTGGCCACCCCCACTGGGTTTTCGGTAAAACTCCCTATGGGGCCATGAAACGCTGTACTGGGTGTGGCGGACGCATGTGACCACCCCCACTGGGGCCTTAGGTGGAGCTCCCCATAAGGACACGAAACGTGTGAGGGGTGTGCCGACATGGGTGTGGCGGACGCATGTGGCCACCCTCACTGGGGCCTTAGGTGGAGCTCCCTATGGGGCCACGAAACGCTGCACTGGGTGTGGTGGACGCATGTGGCAACCCCCACTGGGGCCTTGGGTGGAGCTCCTTATGGGGCCACCAAGCGCTGTATTGGGTGTGGCGGACGCATGTGGCCACCCCACCTGGGGCCGCAGGTGGAGCTCCCTATAGGGCGACGAAACGCCTTACGGGTTGTGGCGGACGCATGCGGGCACCCCCGCCAACGAAGGCGATGACGATGACGATGACGATGACGATGACGATGACGATGATGATGACGATGATGAAGATGATAATGAAAATGATGATAATGAAAATGATGATGATGCTGCTGCTGATGATGATGATGACGATGATGATGATGATGCTGATGATGATGATGATGATGATGATGATGACGATGATGATGATGATGATGATGATGATGATGATGATGATGATGATGATGATGATGATGATGATGATGATGATGATGATGATGATGATGATGATGATGATGATGATGATGATGATGATGATGATGATGATGATGATGATGATGATGATGATGATGATGATGATGATGATGATGATGATGATGATGATGATGATGATGATGATGATGATGATGATGATGTGGTGATGATGATGACGATGATGATGATGATGATGATGGTGGTGATGATGATGCTGATGATGATGTGATGGGAGGAGGGAGGAGGGGGAGGAGGAAGGAAGGAGGAAGGAACGCGGGGCGCTGTCCCTTCAAAACCAGGACCCAACACCACAGGATGGTCGGGAATAAATAGGAAAAGAAGGACAAGAAGGAGAAGAAGAAGAAGAAGAAGAAGGACAAGGTGGAGGAGGCGAGAGAGGAAGGGGAGGAGGAGGGGGGGCAGGAGCAGCAGGGCGAAGACGGCGACGAGGAGAAGCAGGGAAGGGCTCGGCAGGACAGCCGCGAGGCCCAAGACGGACCCTGGGCTCTGGGCGAGACACAAGAGAGAAAAGGGCCCCAGAGCGGCGTCGGAGACCCCCTAAAGAAACCTAGAGGGTCCGTAGAGATAGGGCGAAGCCAAGACGAGGACAAAATCGGGCGAGGATAACTCGGAAATCTTTGGGATCCCGCGGCTCTGAAGAATGCGTCGGGCGCCGCGGCCCCCTCAGAGCGTTCCAGAGCGCTCTGAGAGGTTTCTGGAACGCTCCGGAACGGATTTATCCTCGTCCTGGCCCCGTCCGACGAGATTCCTACAAAGGGCCCTACGGGACTCCTCGTTGAGTTGCGTTGCGCTGGGCGGAAGGGGGTGTCCGTCCCAAGAGAGGCTCCGAAGAAGCGTCCGAGAAGCCCGTGGGACACGGCGCGGCAGCCCGCCGTGCCACACCACGCGGCAGCATCGTGGGCGCAGCTTCCCAGACGGCCCCGGGATGCTCCTGGCGAGCCTCTTAGGAAGAGCTCGACCTAACGATCCCGAACTCCCGACGCCGCTGCAAAAGCACGGCGGTGGGGATCGCCGCAAAGGAGCTGCTCAGCAATGCGACTGCCTCACCGCAGGCCGAATCATACACTGACGAAATCGTCCGCGGAGTGGCTCCCTGACCCCCTCCAGCCAGTTATCCAAGCCAAGTCAAGACATGGCCACACGGAGATCCTCCCCAGCCCGAAGACGCATACGAAACGTTTACATCCAAATAAGACGAGCATCCAAAAGCCAGCAACCGCACAATCAACATCATGATAGCCAGCGTAGATCACAGACAGCAATGTGTTGCAATCCATCCAGTGCAATCTAGGTGGTGCAAGCACCGTGGTGCAATCTAGATGGTGCAATCCATATGGTGCTACCTACATTGTGCAAAAACAATGCAAAACAATGCCCAGCAGTGCAAAGAAATACAAAGCAATGCAAAGCAATGTAAAGCGATGGAAAGCAATACAAAGCAATGCAAAATAATACAGAGCAGTGAAAATCCATGCAGAGCAATGCAAAGCAATGCAAAGCAATGCAAAGCAATGCAAAGCAACGCAAAGCAATGCAAAGCAATGCGAAGCAAAGTAACGCAAAGCAATGCAAACCACTGAAAGCACTGCAAGACAATGCAATGCAAAGAAATGCAAGGAAAAGCGAAGCAGTGCAAAGCAATGCAAAGCGATGGAAAGCAATACAAAGCAATGCAAAATAATACAGAGCAGTGAAAAGCCATGCAGAGCAATGCAAAGCAATGCAAAGCAATGCAACGCAGTGCAACGCAATGCAAAGCAATGCAAAGCAATGCAAATCAATGCAAAGCACTGAAGCACCGTAGAGGAGTCAATGTAAAGCAATGCAAAGCAATGCAAAGCAAAGCAATGCAAAGCACTAAAAAGCACTGAAAAGCATTGCGAACCCATGCAATGCAAAGAAAAGCAAGGCGATGCAGAGCAGTACAAAGCAATGCAAAGCACTGCAAGCCAATGCAACGCAATGCAAAGCAATGCAATGCAATGTAACGCAAAGCAAAGCAAAGCAAAGCAATGCGAAGCAATGGAAAATACTGCAATGCAAAGACATGCAAAGCAATGCAAAGCGATGCAAAGCGATGCAAAGCAATGCAGAGCAATCATGCAAAGTAACGCGATGCAATGCAAAGCAATACAGAGCAATGCAATGCGATACAACGCAGTGCAATGGAAAACACTGGACAGAAGGGCAAAGCAAAATGTAAAGCGTGGAGCAGCATAATGCAATGCGATTGCAAAGCAGTGCGATTACAATGCAGTGACGCAAAGCTATGCAAAGTAATGCAGAGCCATGCAAAGCAATACAGAGCAATGCAGAGCAATGCGAAGCAACGCAAAGCAATGCCAAGCCATTGAAAGCAATGCAGTGCAATGCGAAGGAATTCAAAGCGGGCGGCGACGAGGCGACGGGCGGCGACGAGGCGGCGACGGCGGCGACATGGCGACCAGACCGCCGCGCAGGCCCAGACCGCCGCGCAGGCGACCAGAACCTAAGTGCAAGCACTGCTTGATGTATGATGATGATGATCATCATCATCAGCAGCATCATCATCATCATAGTCAGCATCAGCATCATCGTCATCCTCATCATCGTCATCATCATCAACATCCCCCTCATCATCATCAACAACAACACAATATGCCTCATCATCATGATCGTCATCATCAGCATCGTCATCGTCATCATCATCATCATCATTATCATCATCGTCATCAACATCAGCATCATCAATATCATCATGATCATCAGCATCATCAGCATCATCATCACCATCCTCATCTCGATCGCCAGCATCATCATCATCATCATCATCATCATCATCATCATCAGCAGCAGCATCATCAGTGTCCATTTCCTCCTGCTCATCCTGCTCCTGCTCACCTCATCGTTCTCCACCTCCTCCTCATCATCCTCCCCCTCCGTCTCCTCACTCCCTTCTGGTCCTCCGCTTCACCTTGCACAGAATCCCACAGGGACTGTCAGCGTCTTGGGAAACCGAGGGAGAAAGAGAGGAGAAGGAGAAGGGAGGAGGGAGGAGGGAGGGGGAAGAGAGCAGGGAAGGAGGGAGGAGGGAGGAAGGAAGTAGGAGGGCGAGGGGAAGAGACTAGATCTACAACCTTTGCGGTGATTCGCAGTGGTCCAAACTCTCCCTGATCGCTGCCACTTGATCACGCCGAGTAACGCCTCACCACGTCCCTGCCCCATATCCCCAACATCCTCCGCCTACACACTCAACCTCGGCTCCACTCCTCCTCCTCCTCCTCCTCCTCCTCCTCCTCCTCCTCCCCGTCCTCCTCCTCCTCCTCCTCCTCCTCCTCCTCCTCCTCCTCCTCCTCCTCCTCCGCCTACTCCTCCTCCTCCTCCTCCTCCTCCTCCTCCTCATCTCCTCTCCTCATCCTCCTCCTCCTCCTCCTCCCTCCTCCTCCTCCTCCTCCTCCTCCTCCTCCTCCTCCTCCTCTCCTCCTCCTCCTCCTCCTCCTCCTCCTCCTCCTCTTCCTCCTCCTCCTCCCCTCCTCCTCCTCCTCCGCTCCTGCCTCCCTCCTCCTCCTCCTCCTCCTCCTCCAGCCTCCTCCTCCTCCTCCTCCTCCTCCGCCTCCTCCTCCTCCTCCTCCTCCTCCTCCTCATCCTCCTCCTCCTCCTCCTCCTCCTCCTCCCCATCCAGCCCTCCCCAGTTCCCCCTCCGCCGCCCTTCCCCCTCCCTCCTCCCCCTCCCTCTCACGTCCATCTCTTCTCCCTCCCCCCTCCCATTTTGCCTCCCCACCGTCTTCGCCCCGCCCAGGCTCGCGAGGCCGCCCAGTCGGCTGCTGGTGGCAGGAGGGGAAGAAACGCCTTGCGAGCCCTGAGGGCTCCTCGTCGAGGACGGCCTCGGCACCGCAGACAGGGCAAGGCAGCGAGAGGAATGCTCCTCATCCACAGAGTCCTGCAGGGCATGCGGGTGCAAACCCGACTTGTCTGGCTGATGCTCTGGGGCGAGGGAAGCCTGCGCTTAGGGGAGACTGCAGCACCGCTTAATGATGTGCATTCAACCAAACCTGCAGGGTGTGCCCTGTCCATGTGTGCGCCTCAGCTTTGGCTTCGGCATCAGCTGTGGGTGCACCGCGAAGCACCTTCGGGATAGCTCACCCGAGTCGCTTTTTCGCTCATATGGGTGCCTCCCTCCGCATTCCCCAAACCTCCGACGTCGTGATTTTGGCATGACCCGAACGGTCCAGGCGCGTACGGACGACTGCGAGAGACGGGTCAAAGCCGTCCAGGCACCCCAGGTCTGACCCAGGAGGGCAGGACTAGCCCTGCACAGCATAGGTCACAACACACGCCCGAAATGGGTACGGAAGAAAGAGGTATGATGCCCAACAGCAAATGCCGCACAAGCCCGACGGCGGCCGCTGTTGGGCAGGCGGCTTCTACTTCTTGCATCAAATGGACAGCGTCCAAGGCGACACCGAGAGCGAGGCGTGTTCCAAACGGATAGGAACTGCAGCCGGTTTTCGTGCCCTGTCTTCCCGAACCCAGCTCGATCGCACCGAATCGAGGGATGGCCTACGCATCGGAGCCGCTGCCTTCAACCAGGGTTAGTCGTCCGTGGCAGGCAGGGCTGCATGTGTCGGTGCCAAACTACTAGTGCACTTGAAACAATAAAATCGCCAGCTTCCCAACTGATGGGAAGGGGACCCCTCGATGCTACAGCGTCGCACCGAGGCCGGCACAACCAAGGCAAATCGGCGAGAACGTACAGAGGCTTTGTTGTTGGATTATGACCCTGGTTCTGGGACGCGACGTGTCAAATATCTGAGAACACCATCCGACTTCAGAGCGGCCAGGGACGGGCCAGGGAAGAGTGCCTCGATCCGCCCCCCCCCCCGGTCGCGGCTGGCGGGGATCGCAAGGCGCCTCCAGCCCCGAGGCCGGGACCCCCCTTCTCGCGCCCTCCTCGGCGCCGCCTGTCGCCCTCGCCGTCCTCGTCGCCGCCGTCGCCGCCTGCAGCGTTGGTCGCCCTCGCCCTCGCCATCACCGCCGCCGCCGCCGCCGGCAGCCACCGCGGTCGCCTCTGCAACCGCCGTCGTCGCGAAGCCGCTACTGACGAACACCAAGCGCGGCCTGCAAGCGGTGTGCTCTGATCCCGCGCGCAAGAGAACGCCGCGCGCCGCCCCGGCCCCGCGGGTCCGCGAGGGAGATGCTGATGTCGTTGCCGGCCCGCTGCTTCAGGTCTGGAGGCCGGTCTGATCCCGCCCCCCGAAGGGGGCCCAGGGCCTTCCACGCCGATCAGAGGTCCGCAGAAGCGGCCCGAGGAGAAAGGGCAGAGGCAGCCAAACTGTTTTTGTCGGACGTGTTCGTTGGCTCTCAGCGGTTTTCCATCCTCGGGACGCTTCTCAACAGCCGCGCCTTGCTCCCAAACGGCCACCGACAACCCGACTTAAGACCCGAAGACCAAGCGACGAGGATCGTTGGGGGGGGGACTGGACGAAGCATCGAGCCCGTGCATCCCCACTCGGGGCCTGGACTCCCCGCCCCGCCCAGGAGCATGCGGCATGGTCACCGGGGGGCATAACGCGGATCTATCGGCGACGCATAGCACCGAATCCAGGTTCAGGGGGGCGTAGGGGGGAGGGGAGGAGGGGGCAAGCTAGGTGCGCCCGCGTCATATCTGACGTCCTACCCTCCCTCCCATCCCTTGCCATGGCGTAGGTATCCTCTCTATTCGCACAGTCAGATGTCGAGCAGGGCAATGATCGTGAGAGGGTACGCGATGCATGGTAGAGCACAGCATGGCATGGTGCAGAAGAGCACGACAGAGCGTAGCACGCCATAGCATGGCGTGGCATTGCGCAGTGAAGCATCGCATCACAAAGCATTGCAAAGCAAGGCATGGCAACACAACACCGCACAGCATGTCATGGCATGGCGCTGGGTTCCTTTGAGGGTAAGTGGATCGTCTTCGAGGTCTGGGCCGGTCTGAAGTCGTGGCTCCATGTCTAGCTCCTTGGGCTCCCCGAAGAGCTCCACACAAGGCGGGGCTGATGAAGAGCACCCGCTGGCTCTGCTTTCAACATCGCGTTCTCAAAGCAGAAACGGCTTCTGCGGCCCAAAAAACAACGAATCGGCACCGAATGTGTAATCATTTCCGATGGTTTTTTTCGGGGTGCCATTTTCCAAAATTTGGGGCCTATTTGGAAGGACCGAAAACGCCCGCGCTGCAGCGGCAGCACGATTTGGAACAAACAGAGACACAGAGATGGGGCCAGCGCTAAAAGCAAACAACAGAAACAAAAAAAACTTGAAATACTATGTAAAAAACATTTTCGGAGGGGGGGCCGGACAATCAGGAGAGTGGAGAGTAGTATTCATATTGTGTAATTGTGAAGGGGCGCGGAGGAGCAGGGGGACGGGGAGAGGGGAGCGGGGAGGGAGCGGAGGAGACTGGGGAGAAGAAAGGCGGAGAGCGATGGGGGGATAAGGAAGGGAAGACGGGGAGATGCCAGGGCAGGAGAGCGGGAAGGGGGTGGGGGGAACAGCGAGAGGAAACGACGAGGACGACAGCGACAAAGGCGACATCGACGAGGAAGGGGCTCGACCAGAGACGAGACAACTGCCTCGAGCAAGCCAGAGATGGACAGCACCAAAAGCGCCGCTTGGACAGATGCGACCAATCAGAAGAAGTGACTGCTATGAAACAAAGGAACCTGAGGGAAACGGGTCCTAGACCCCGGGGGCTTTCCCCAGGAGTGGCTCTCCATCTTGAGTCGCTTTTTGACGCTCTTGGGGCCCAAGGACGGGCCCAGAGGGGCCCGCAAATGGCGAAACAACTCCAGGACCCATTTCGCGCAGGACCCATTCCCATCACGCTAAGGTGCGGAAAATACAAACGCTCGCCTACGAAGACTGGGCCCAGCAACTTCGGAACGACATCCACGGGCACGTCGACCTCGGGAACCGGTCGAAGAGAATAATTAGGCGAGGGTTGCTGATATGCCCAGCACATGCTCCGACCTCGATCCCTCCCCCAAGGCCTCTCCTTTGTAGTCGGCGCATTTCCATCGCAGGCTACACGAATGCAACGTTGCGATTTTGATTTGCTGAGATGCATCCACTCATCGGCAGACCCCCGCCCGAACTCAGACGTACCTCGGTGCTCCGTCAAGAAGCCCATTCTACGACCCCACCTTCGCTTGATCCCCGCAACCACAACAGCAACAACAAGAACAACAACAGTCATGTTAAAACTGTTCGCTCCTATCTGTTCATGTGCCAGTCAATACGTATATCCCAAGCCGTCGGTACCCGCCCTCGTCGTCTTCGATCGTACCCCCTTTGAGGTATATCTGCCTTACCTGCCACGCGCATGTAGTGCAGCCCCTAAAACAAAGGAAGAGAAGACTGGTGGAAGGGGGAAGGAGAATAATGGAGCACGAGAGATATTAGCAGGAGGGGGGCAAGGAGCAGAAAAAAATGGCAGAACCAGACGGGCAGATCGGGTGGGCAGACCCATAGTGGGCAGGTCGGGAAGGCGGGCGTAAGCGCCCACGTCGAGCAGGCGGGTTGCTGAAGCATGGGTGCTGCATGGATCGCGAAGAAGTCCCGAACGATAGCGCGATTCCCAAATAAATCTTGGGAAGAGCGAAAGCGAGAGCGTGATTCCTGAGCGCCGAGGGCGCATCGTCTGAGTAAAATGCGAAGAAGTCCCACGCGAGAGCGCGATTCGTTTTCAAAGTATGACGAAGTCCCGCGCGAGAGCGCGATTTGGGAATAAATCCCACCAGCCCTTTAAGGCCTAGGTGGTTTAGGGTGTTTCCTTTTCCACCCCTTTTCTTCCCCTTCGGGGAAGGGGTTATCACTCTTCCCTATTAATAAACACCCCCTCCCCCAGACGACTGGGGGCAAACCAGGGACCATGACGACCCCCCCACACACCATCCCTTTTAAAAAACAATACAAAACACACTCGGCCTCCATATTCGGAACATGCGCAGCAAACTCGATGCGGCCCCCCCCACCACCACCATCCCTGTCAAAAACCATAGACAGTACACTTGGCGGCGGCGGCGACTGCGGCGGCTGCGGCGGTGGCTGCGGCGGCTGCGGCGGCGGCGGCGGCGGCGGCGCCGGCGGCGGGGGCGGCCGCGGCGGCGGCGGCGGCGGCGGCTGCGGCGGCGGCGGCGGTGGCGGCGGCGGCGGTGGCGGTAGCGGCAGCAGCTGCGGCGGCGGCGGCGGCGCCGGCGGCGACGGCGGCGACGGCGACGGCGGCGGCAGGCGGCGGCGGCGGCGGCGGCGGCGGCGGCGGCGGCGGCGGCTGCGGCGCGGCGGCGGCGGCGGGCAGCGGCGTCGGCGGCGGCGGCGGCGGCGAAGGCGGCGAAGGCGGCAAAGGCGGCGGTTGCTACGTATGTGTTGGGAGGGCGGGTGGGAGTGAGCGAGACGGCTTGCGGGCGGGGGGGGAGTCTTGACCCCTCCCCCATACCCCCTTCCCTGGACGTGGACGGGGCGTTTCGCGGGTCGTCGGAGCGTCCAAAACGGCCTCGGCGAGGCAGCCAAAATCAATGGTTTTACGACAGGTTGGGCCCCATGTTGGCCTTTTTGGGGGGCGCGACGCTAATTGAGGGACCCCCTTCTTTGATCGATCAGGCCCCAAGAGGCCCCCAAGAGGCCCCCAAGAGGCCAGACGCTCCAAGAGGCCTCGGCGAGAATGCCGGATGCCCTGATCACTGATGTTACTAAGGCTTTGCCCACATTTGGGCCTCCTGGGGGGGGCATTGCTTAGATGATTCCAAGAGCGCCTGGGAGAGCCCAAAATGACCTCCACACTGGCTTAAGATATCCCAAGATACCTTAAGATGGCTCCCACGATGCTCCAAGAGGCCCTAAGACCGTCCCAAGACCGCTCCAAATGGCCAAACAGCTCCCCGAAGAGGCCAAAATCCTTCCAAAACCTTCGGCCAATCTATGTTGTTGGTTTTCTCGCCTTTTCGCTTCCGATGGCCATCCGAGGCCTCAAAATGGTTCCAAGATGGCCCAAGAGGGCTCCAAGAGCGCCTCCAAGGCCCCCACCAGCGCTTCAAAAGGGCCCCAAAGAGACGCCCAGGCCCCAGGAGGAGCAGCTGACGCCAAAGAGGCCTCCAAGAGGCTCCCCAGAGACCCCCAAGAGGCCCCAAGAAGCTCTCCGAGGCACCCAAAACGCTCCAAGAGGCGCCCGGGACCGCCAAGAAGCCCCCAAGACGCTCCAAGAGGCCTCGACTGGGAGACCCTTCCTCTGCGTGCTGCCCACTTCCCTGATCGAGGCAATTCCTCTGGGCATCGTTTCTGGATGGGCTGGTGGGTTTACTTTTTGATCGCGACCGCGGCGAGGGACAGGTCGGGCGGCGTCAAGGCACTGCGACCGAGTAACGGCCTAAACTAGCGCAAAAGAGGAAGAAGAAGAAGAAGAAGGAGGAGAAGAAGAAGAAGGGCGGAAGAGGACAAGAACAAGCAGGGGAAGAGACAAACAGAAGGCGAGCCCCGCTGCCGCTCAGGAGGCGCACGCCAGGAAGTACATCCGGGCGACGTGCAACACCAGGTGGTAATTCAGGGAGCCCATCACGTCCCTGACAAGGAAGACCGCCGGCAACACGAACAGCAGGCCCAGGTGAAGACGAGGGATGCGGCACCTCGACAGCGAGCCACCGACCCAGAGGAAAGACGGGCCATGCAGGCGCTCGACGGAAACGTTCCAGATCGCCAAACACCGAAGGTGTCGAGGGAGGGCTGGTGGGGTTACGCGAAGCGTCTAGAATTGTTTGGAAGTATCAGGCGGGAGCCGCTGCTGTTATTAACCAGGGGCCAAGGGGAAAGCATTTCAATTGAAAAATACAATGATCACCAGAGGAGGGCGATCAACAATAAATATTCTTCAGTGAGGAAAGTTCAACAACAACAACAACAACAACAACAACAACAACAACAATACCAACAACAACAACAACAAGGAACAACCGCGCGTGGGTGCCCCATGGTCCCAGACCTCGTTCCCCGTGTTCTTCCCTAAGGTGGAACCGCGCGTCTGTGCCCCATTGGCCGGTTCGGACCCCCCCCCAACAACCAGCAACCAGCAACCAGCAAGCAGCAACCTGGGGCGCCGTTCCCTGCTCCGCTGGCGAATTTGCTCGCTGAACGGTGTGGAGTCATCCAACATGCCATTTTGCCGTGTCTGCACCAGCGAAGCTCCGGAATCTACGGAGTCCTATCGGATCCTTAAGGGTGGATCCAGCTCTACTACAATCCTATTACTGGTGGACCCACCTCTACTACAATCCCATTAGTGGTGGGTCCACCTCTGCTACAATCCTTTTAGTGGTGGACCCATCTCTACTACAATCCTATGAGTGGTGGATCCACTTCTACTCAAATCCTATTATTGGTGGATCCACCTCTACTACAATCATATTAGTGGTGGATCCACCTCTACTACAATACTATTAGTGGTGGATCCACCTCTACTACAATCCTACTATGTGGTGGATCCACCTCTACTACAATCCTATGAGTGGTGGGTCCATCTTTACTGCAATCCTAGTAGTGGTGAATCCACCTCTACTACAATCCTATGAGTGGTGGGGCCACCTCTACTACAATCCGATTAATGGTGGATCCACCTCTACTACAATCATATCAATGGTGGATCCACCTCTACTACAATCCTATGAGTGGTGGATCCACCTCTACTACAATCATATTAATGGTGGATCCACCTCTACACCTCTGCTACAATCCTATTAGTGGTGGATCCACCTCTACTACAATCCTAGTGGTGGTGGGTCCACCTCTACTACGAACCTACTAATGGTGGATCCAGCTCTGATGGAATCCTATCAGTGGTGGATCCAGCTCGGACACAATCTTATTAGTGGTGGATCCAGCTCTGATAGAATCCTGTGTGCCGAAATGAAGCTTCGGTGGAACTCCCTGTAGGGCCAGGGCCACGATCCTCGAGAGAGCTATACCGAAATGAAGCTTCGGTGGAGCTCCATGTGGGGCCAGGGCAACGATCCTCGAGAGGGGTATGCCGAAATGAAGTTTCGGAGAAGCTCCCTGTTTGTTGGGCCAGGGCCACGATCCTCGAGAGGGGTGTGCCGAAATCAAGCTTGGGAGGAACTCCCTGTGGGGCCAGGGCCACGATCCTCGAGAGATGTGTGCCGAAATGAAGTTTCGGTGGAGCTCCCGGTTGGGCCAGGGAGCTCCGTGTGTGGCCAAGGGCACGATTCTCAAGATGGGTGTGCCGAAATGAAGATTCGGTGGCGTTCCTTGTGGGGCCAGGGCCAAGATCCTCGAGAGAGTTTTGCCGAAATGAAGCTTCGATGGAGCTCCCTGTGGGGCCAGGGCCACGATCCTCGAGAGGGGTGTGCCGAAATCAAGCTTCGTTGGGGCTCCCTGTGGGGCCAGGGCCACGATCCTCGAGAGGTGTCTGCCGAAATGAAGCTTCGGTGGAGCTCCCTGTGGGGCCAGGGCCACGATCCTCGAGAGGGGCGTGCCGAAATGAAGCTTCTGTGGAGCTCCTTGGGGGTCCAGGGCCGCGATCCTTTATAGATGCGTGCTCGAATGAAGCTTCGGAGGAGCTCCCTGTGGTGCCAGGGCCACGATCCTCAAGAGGGGTGTGCCGAAATGTTGTTTCGCTGGAGCTCCCTGTGGGTCCAGGGCCACGATCCTCGAGAGGTGTGTTCCGAAATGAAGCTTCGGTGGAGCCCCCTGTGGAGCCAGGGCCACGATCCTCGAAAGGGGTGTGCCGAAATAAAACTTCGGCGGAGCTCCCTGCGGAGCCATGGCCACGATCCTCGATAGGGGTGTGCCGAAATAAAGCTTCGGTGGAGCTCCCTGTGAAGCCAGGGCAACGATCCTCGAGAGGGGTGTGCCGAAATGAAGCTTCGGTGGAGCTCCCTGTGGGGCCAGGGCCACGATCCT